TCCACTCCCAACATCGCTAATGTACCGAGCTTGACACACAAAAGAGGTTACCACGCGGTCCCAAGCTACTAGTATGGTCCCTGCTAGGGTCCCAAGCCTCTTGGCGCTCGATTTCAATTCAAAGCCCACGCAAACCAGCCAATCATGGCGCTCTGCCAGTAAAAAATTGGCCAATCCCATGCGGGAGAAGGCGATCCGCAATCCAATCGACGTTATCCGGATAGAACAACCGGATGCGATCCAATTGAAATCGTCATAATCGAAACGGCCGCCGAACAGAGCAATGGCCCGCTTCAGCGCCGACGTGCTCGAGCTCTCGGACGACGAACATGTAAGCGCGCTCCGCTGGCGCGACCACGAGCTCATGACGTCTACAGGAGGAGGCTGTGGCCGAGCAGCAGCGTCGCGGCGCCACGAAACGCCAGGTGGGCCACCCCGTCGCGACGACCCATGCATGCACCGTCCCGTACGACGACGTATCCTCATGTAGGCCCGGCGCCCGTCTAGCGAGGCGCAGAGCTTGCGCGGGCCTGCGCCGAGCGCCCGCAAGAAGATGCGTCGCGTGCCGCCTGAGCCCACGGACCGCATCACGCGCCAGCGAGGCCCGGCGCCCGCGCCGCTGCCGCTGCCGCCAGGGCGCCGCGACAAGCCGCTCACGGACGCGCAGAAGGTTGCGAAACTTGCCCAGAAGAACGCTGCGACGAAGGTACGCTTTCTTGCTCATGCGTGTGTGTGCTCATGGCTGTCTGCGCAGAACACGAAGAGGTTAAAAGAAATCGCGAGACGCGAAAGACAGAGCATCCGGGCCGCGACGCGCGAGGTGCGATGCTTGGCGATACCGCGTGTAGTCGTCTCATGCGTCCGTGGTAGGAGATCCCCGCGTTGCGCGAGTACCATCGCACGTGGCCCTCGGTCGGCACTTACATTTGCGATTTGTTTCCTAACTCCAAATGGACAGACCCCGCCTCGGACGAGCACATGTACGTTTATACTTCATGTTGCACGTTTGAATATCATGTTGGTCGACTAGGTGCTCCATCTGCCATGAAAATTTTGAGCCAAACGAACGTACCCTGCGCCTGCCGTGTGAACACATCTACCACCGTGCTTGCATTGAAGCCTGGCTTCTTCACAAGGATACGTGCCCACTTTGTGTGCGCCCAATCCTTACATACACGTAGTTGAAATAATTAGCGAATGCAAAACTCAATGTCTTTGGACACTATTATACTTGTCTTTGGAAAGTCTACCACAAGATTTGCGTTCGACGAGCTATCGGACTGGATGCATGAGCTAGTCCAAATGAAAATCGATGCATCGTCGCGCGCTCGACCACTTCTTGTACGGCAAGTCGGACGAGACATGTTGTTGTACGTTCCGCTGCGAACGGCGGAACTTCCTGGCCGTGCTCGCACCCGAGACGATGCGTATTACCTGACCCACGCACTGCTTGAATACCGACTCTACGACGTATGTACCTCGCCGCACACATGTTGCCTGTCGTGTGGCGCGAAAGCCGACGTCAGTCCGGGACTCACCGGCGCGAGCCCGGTGCGATCGAGCACGACGCAGTGCTCCACGCTGGCGAGTGAATAGGCTGCAACGCCGGTGCTAAGGCGGCGAGGTGCCACGACGGTCCGCGTGCACGACAGTGGCGTACGGAACGTTGCCAGGCGCGTTCGCGGCCACTCTCACGGGCGTCGTCGTGATGTGGTACAGGACGCGTGACCTTTCGAGGGCCGTGAGCCGTGGGCATCTTGACGAGGTCGGGCCCGAGCGCCTTCCTTGCAGAGCACCGCGGCCGTCCAGACGTCTCCACTCGTTCTGTGGCGTGCACGTCGAGCGGGTGGTAAGCCCGGTAGGGCATCTACACCCGCTTGGCGAGAGGTTCGAGTAGGCGCGGCGTCCACGCGGGCAGGTTCATCGACGGCGACGTGAGCAGCGTCAGCGCCGGCACCGACGACTAGCCCGCGATCAATGCTTCCACGTTGCCCGCGTCCAAACCAGACACGGCGAGGGACTGCAGTTGTGTGAGCATCGGCGCCGCGGCCGTACACGTTGCCAGCGGACCAAAGACGCTGCAGCGAAGATCCTTGAGCTGCGTGTGGCCGACGGCGGTCGCGATGTCCGTCAGCGTTGCTGGCGCTTCAGAGTATTTCTCAATAGTTCCGGAATTTTTTGCAATATTTGCAAAAGTTCCGGAAAAAAAAATGGATATGTTCAAAAGTTCCGGAATGTTTTTGATTGGTTAAAAAGGCACTTTTCGGTGAGCATGATTGGTTTATTCTGGGCTAATTCGAGGGCCGCCGTCAGCAGCAATGACCCCAAATAGTGTTAGAATACAGTCAATTAGCCTGACATGTAGGGGTAAATAGTGTTATGTGATTCGCACTGGGGAAAGCAACAAATCTGAATCATCCTCAAGCGACGATGGCGAGCGAGACGCAGCTCTTACGTGGAATCGCCGCCAACGAGAAGTACAGCGGTGCACCTGAAGTCGGTCTTGGCTTCTACGGCGGGCGTCGTCAAGTGACGAGATACGTGAAGGACCGGACACTGGCTAACCGTTTCTCGATCGTCGTCGCAAAAGCAGGTACGCTGACGCGCGCGGTTTGCGAGCTGTTCTGCCGGCGGGCATGTATCGCATTCAAGGTGTGTTTTTCTTGTCGAAAATGAATCTGGTTCGCACGGATCTTACATCATGCAATGTAGGCGTGCAAATGAAGCACTCCGATATGGACCCGAGCCCGATGCCCGTGGTCGTTGCGGTGCCATCAACCTCGACTATTCTGAAGGGTAAGAAGAAGATGAAGGAGCAAGACGTTGTGGCTTACCTCAAGGCCATCAATCCAGAGCACTAGACGGTATACGGCAACATGGGGGCGTACAAGACAGAACCTCTCGTCACGGCGACTACTGCACTGGACGTTCGTGCCCTATTTGGCGTCAAAGCCACCAACTTTGTCGGGTTCGACAACGCGATGAGTATGTGCCTTCGTTCATGAGGGTGGTGTTCTAGCTTTATGTCTAGATATCCACAATGGCCTCCGCTTCAACCTTCCGTTTGCAGCTGTGTACCTCATGGTGGCAAAGGTCATGCAACGGCGGCCACTCGACGACGCGAGGTTGAGCGTGAGTCGTCCTGCCTGCAACCTCCAACGCGTTCGCGCGCGACAACTACGAAAAGCCGCTCGAGATGGCTCAAGCCTACACGATCCAGGACTCAACAAGGTCAATTTTGTTTGTGTACTGCGAGTCCCACCTTGAAGTCAATCGCGATGTCGATGTCGAGAAACTGAAGTGCTTGTGCCCTTACTGGGAGCAGACGCAGATACCTTGCAACAAGAGTACACAAATGAATTTATGTACTACTCTTGCTTGCAAGTACCTCATTCGTGCGCTTGAGCAGATCGGCGCGCTGCACCTCGGGCGATTCGGACACGGCGGGCAAGGCGACAAAGCTCTACCAGCAACGTGGCGCGGCCGGGTTGGTGCCGTACAAGTGCAAGTCCTGCGGCGGCGAGGGTCACAACGCGGCAACATGCCGCAAACGACAACGGAAGCTCTTGCCCGCGACTTCTTCGGGAAGCTATTTCAAACCTGACGTGCCAAGGACGAACGATCGCATTCGATTTTGCAACCTCATCCACGCAAGCGACGGCGAAGAGGCAATGCTCAAAGACGAGACCGACTTCCGCGACGTCGACGAAGATGGCTTCGAGTTGGGAGGCACCGGCCTCGAGTCCAGTTTGGCATTATTAAACGAGTAGCGCAGTACACACTCTCCGTACTATACACATCTCGACCTGTACCTGCTAACATTGTAAGCCAGCAGCGCATGAATCATGGCAACGGTCGGTCTTCACTCTGTTTCACGATCGTCACATTTCTATATCTAACACTATTTAGGGTTTTGCTGCTGACGGCCGCCCTCGAATTAGCCCAGAATAAACCAATCGTGTTGACCTAAACGTGCCTTTTTAACCAATCAGAATCATTCCGGAACTTTTGAACATATTGGTTTTGGTATAGCGCGTCATTCCGGAACTTTTGCAAATATTGCAAAAAATTCCGGAACTATTGAGAAATACTCGGCGCTTCAGCCATCGCCTCTTTGGTCCCAGTCATCAAATCCATGCAGTGCCCATGGAGGGACCTACGTAATATAATACTTCGAATTTATGCATAACTACTTTTGACTATCGAAACATACAATATTGGGGAAATAGGGGGCCTTACGCTAACAAGACATTTCCAAAAAGGCCAAGCAACTCGCACATGGTCGCGCGCGCCGAGTATGAAACCGCGGGCTCGGCGAAGATGCTCTCGGAGCGTGGCGCCGAGTGGGCCGACACGGCGGCGATTGCGAGCGACCTCGCCGCCCAGAACTACGGCCTCGACGTCCTCGATGCCAACATTGAAGACGACGCGAGCAACGTGACGCGCTTCCGCCTCCTCTCGGCCTCGGCAATGCTGCCGCCTGAGCTTGCCGCCGACTCTCCGCCGGCTGCGCAGTGTGGCCAATCTCGAGATGTAATTGAGGTCCGCCTCGAGATGATGAGACCGGTCGGCGCGCACGCCGAGGAGTAGTGTCTCATCAAGGTGTCTGCAGCCTCGCCCGTCGAGTCACCACCCCAGACGCTACTGCAGGCGATCATCGACCTGTCAAAGAGTTTTCCGACGCCTTCACGAACGAGCTGCCGGACGGTCTGCCGCCGTCGCGGTCAATTTTTCGGTCACCATGAAGCCTGGCGCCGAGCCCAAGTCCCAACTTTACGGGTGCCGCCTCTCGCCCATGGAAGAGCAACTGCTCGACGACTTTGTGGCTGTGTTCCTCAACACGGGCTGGATCCAAGTTTTCAACAGTCATTGGGTCGCAAACATCTTTGGGCTGCCCAAGCGCAGCGATGATGGCGAGCTGCAGTCGCGAGCGCAATTGTCAAGTCGCTCACGTCGAAGTCCAAGATCCGATGGGTGCTCGACTACCGCTACACGAACTCGCAGCAAGAAATCCCTCGCATCCCGCTGCCCAACATTGACGCGCTCTTTGATCGCATGAAGGACTCCAAGTGGTTCTCGAAGCTCGACCTTGCAACGGGCTACCACCAGATGCTCGTCCATTCCGAGTCCCGCAAGTACACGGCGTTCAAGATGCACTCGGACACGTACGAGTGGCTCGTGGCGCTAATGGGGATGGCAAGCATGCCCGGTATCTGGTCGCGCCTCATGCAGGAGCTCTTTGCCAAGCTCAACTTTGCGGCCGTGTGCATGGACGACATGGCGATCGTCTCCAAGACGCTGGACGAGCACGTCACGCATCTGCGTGCAGTGATCAAGATTTTGCGCACACAGAAGCTGTACTGCCGCATGGCCATGTGCGAGTTTCCGATGCCCAAGATCGACTACCTCGGCCATGTGGTGACGCGCGATGGCATTGCGGTTGACCCGAAGAAGGTCCGTGCCATTGAGCAGTGGCCGACGCCGACGACGCGCAAGGCGCCCCAGTCATGACTCGGTCTGTGTGGCTACTATCGCCGCTTTGTGTACGGGATTGCCGAAATTGTCTTGTCGCTCGGCGAGCTCGTCAAGAAGAAGGTCACATGGTCGTGGGGTCCAGACCAAGACACGGCTTTTGAGCGTTTGAAGGTTGCGATGCAGCAAGCGCCGGTTTTGGCCTTGCCCGACTACGGCCGCCCGTCCATTGTCACCTGCGACGCCTCTGGCTACTGCTTCGGTGCAGTGCTCTCGCAGCTTGATGCGTCCGACGATGACCACCCGATTGCGTTTATGTCCAAGAAACTCGCTGGCGCCGAGCTCAACTGGCCCGCACACGAGAAGGAGCTGTACGCGATCAAGATGGCGATGGCCAAGAGGCGTCCGTACCGATGGGGTACGCCGTTCAAGGTCTTCACGGACAACAGCGCGTGCCGTTGGTTCCTCGAGACGCCCCAGCTCAACGCCAAGATGGCCAGATGGTTGGATTAATTTTCCCAGTTCGAATTTGAACGCTTCCACCGTCCCGGTGTCGAGAACGTGGTCGCCGACGCCCTCTCGCGCCCGCAGCATGACGCCGACAACGATGAAATCGTTCGAGCCGCGCCTCTTTGTGTGTACGTCAACACGATCTCGGCCCAGCCCGAACCGATGCTGAGTTTTTGTGCGCGCGGATGTGTGCCCAGCCGATGCTGACGCGTGCCCGTGCCACGTCCTGCACCGCCAAGTGGTCCGTCATCAACGCCACCACCAACACAACTTGGTGCTGAACAAGCGTGACCACCACATGATACATGTCTGGGGAGAATATGCCGCCCAAGGTGCCGCCCATGGTGCCGCAGACGATCAAGGTCAACACGGTCAAGGAGATCGGCGTCATGTCGATCCAGCTCGATGAGCCGCGAAAGCATGGTACGCCAAAGCCTACCGCAAGGACGCGACGTTCCAGAAGTACGCCACCGGCAAGAAGGAGTTTGTGCTTGCCAACGGCCTCTGCTTTATTGGCAGCAACGACCACCAGTGGACGCTCGTGGTCCCCGACGACAAGTACTTGCGCACCGAAGCCATTGCGATGCTGCACGACTCGCGACGCGTAACCTCCCGTTGAAACACGCAAGTCCTCAACCGCGACGAGCGTCCAAGCTCGTTCCGCGCTGGATTGGCTCGTTCAAGGTCATCGGCAAGGTCAACGAGAACGCTCAGGATTTTGCGATGAAAAGACTGGATTGGAAACTGTAGTTTGATTTCTCGTTGTCACTCGTTGATACCACGCAGTGCATTCATTCAGCGAGTTTTGAATACCCAGCAATGGCGCCCAGAAAAGAAAGAAAGGGCGTCATCGCTACTAGTAGCGACGGCCTTTCTTTTGCCACCCTTCGAGCGAGTTGTTGCAAGCGCCCGCGCCTATCCGAGATATGAGACGTCTAGACACGGCAGGCGCTTGGACTAGCGGATTGGGCTCCTCGTTCTCGTGGTTTCCGGAGGTCGATACATGGGGATCGACCTCGACCTCGGGAGCTTCCTATTACCCTCGTTATGAGCCGCTCGCCGTACCCAGGAAGACCATGTACCTCGATCGTCCGCTGCGCTGCTACACGCGCCATGTTGGCGTGACCTCACAAATTCGGATTTGAATCGAGCGAATGAGCGTCTTGGACCCATCCGGTTTTGAACCCAAGGTACGATAGCAATAAGGGGCCACTAACTATAATTAAAATGTAATGTCGCCAACACATACCGATCAAGCGCGTTGCAAGAGTCATGTATCGATCACGTTGTCTCTTTGGCGCTGCGGTGCTGTATGTCTACCAAGCTTGCTGGCGCGCGCACGGCGGCATCAATGACGATACGATATGGGTGTTGCGTGCATGCCCCAAGAATCTCAGCGAGTTGAAGCAGCCCTCGCGTACGAACGCACTCGCAGTGGGGCCGTACTTGATCGACAGCTTGGTAGACGGGCGTTGGAAGCTAGCCGCGACAAGTGTGTGCTTGCACAGAACCGCCATGATGTTCGAGGCCGTCACGACGCGAGCGCACCGTGTCGACACACTCACGCTACTAGTATCCTTTATCCACTCCTTGTCGGTCTCTCTGCGCGGGCATTGGTCGAAGGTGCGTGACAGGCAGTCCCATGCATTCATGCAGGATCGAGCGAGTCCAAAGGACGATGCGACGAGCCAACCATGGCGGTGAATCACATGCGTGGTGGTGTTGAGTATCTCCGTTGAACAGATCTTCCACATCGCGAGCGACGTCAACGCCGAAGATCTTGGCCGCTGTGCTTTCATCTCCTGCTGCCACGTACAAGATCGCTGCGTCTGGGGCAAGGGTTCTCGAAATCGGCCAATCAAAAGCGTGTTTCAGGTGGTCTATTGTATATCTCTTGTTTTGTATGCAGACCAGGCAGTTTATTATAATTCCACCACTTTCCAAGATGCTCAAGAAGCCCAAGCATGCATCGGCCATGACGATCCCGGCCGCGGTCATCGGGTCGCTCGTCGAGTACATGGACGCGCGCCTGGACGCCAAGGCCATCCTCTTGGCCATCCCTCAAGACGAGCTCACGGCGCCGCTGGCCGCGCTCCGCCGGCTCATGACCACCGCGAAGGCCTTTGACGGGCAGTGGCCCATGGTTCATCTCGAGCTCGTCCCGGACGACTACATTCAACTCGTCTTGGTCGCGCTCCCCGTCATTCCGAAGGTGCAGGTCAACTCGGTATGGTGCATGGAAGATCATCTCCGCGACAGCGACCTCGACGCGGCGACTGTGTTCGCCGCAGTGGCGCCCAAGCTCACGGAGATGCAGGACTTGGATTGGTTCAAAAAGCCGGCTATTTTGCCGATGTGCACGCGGCTCGCGCACGTCTTCATCCACGAGAGGTATCTCGCTGCGACGTTGCCGCTGCTGCCGCCGAGCGTTTGCGAGTTGTCTCTTCATGGCCAAGAGTATGGCCCCGATGATCTCGCGGCCCTGTCACGGTGGCTCAAGACGGGGCGTGTCAAACGCCTCGTTTTGTTTGACTTCAACTCGCAAACAAGTGCTAGTGCCATGGCCGAGATGCTGGCGACGACCACCTCCGTCACAAGTGTGGCGTTGATCGACTCCGATGTCCTCATCCATGCACTTGCGGCGGCACAACGTCCTCTCTGGCACTTCACGGACGTCGAAATCTTTACGTCAAACAACGACATCGACTGGGCCGGCATCCTCGTATTGCTTTTGGATCTCTCCAAGCTCACACGCCTCGTGGCTTACGCCCTTGGTGACTGGAGCTGGCTCGTCTCGCTCTTGAAGATGCCGCTTCTTCAAGAGCTGGCACTCCGAAACATTACGCTCACGGTGTCACGAGCCATCCTCTCGGACTTTTGCTTGCCGAGCCTACGCGTGCTCGAAATCAAGGACGTGGAGGTGGCCGACGCCAGCTTTGAAGCACTCGTCGACTGGACGACGCAGCTGCCGCAACTGGACGACCTGCGATGGATCAAAATGCCGCGCGAATATTCGCCTCGCACTTTGGATCTCGTCCAACAAGCCATCACCAAGTGGACGCAGACGCTCTCGGCTTTGTCGCTTCGATCCTGCGCCTTTGTGACCGCGAGCATCCCCTGTCTTGCGCAGTCCCTCCGCGCGCGCTCGAACGATGCACGGCCATTCGCTCTCGACCTGCGAGTCTCTCACATCGACTGCATTGACGATGTTTTCGTTCTTCTCAACGCGCTCAAGGGTCGCACGAATGTGACGCTCAAGCTCAGCGTCGACGAAGACGACGAGGCGGCTATCAAAGCCCATGCGCGAGCGACGCGCATCTCGATGGAGATCCTCGAGCGTGAAGGGGACGGCTTTGTCGAATCGCTCTTTTACGCTTTCTAATCCGATCAATTGAGTTGCTGAGCAAGCTACGTGTCGTACTTGAGTAGTGTTTCTATCAACAGTGGTAACGTGCACGTAATGGCACTTCATGTCCTAATTGAAAATACGGAGCAGTAGTGCTTCACTCGCTTCACATCCGCTCCATTTGTCTTTTCACCTGCACGACTTGCTTCTGAGCAATCTGGTTGGCGACGCTTTAGACTCCTTGGGTGTGTCGTCTCCAGCGAGTAGCTACACTGCCTCGAGCGTCGCCTCATATCAACCGACAAGAAAGTGAGTTTAGGATAGATATATAGACATCGTTTTTTGGTTTTCCATCTACTGGGGCACGAGCGAGAGGAGGCAGTTCTCAAGCGCGTCCATCGAGTGGCCGAGGACCTCGAGCGACGTGGCGTACGACATGCGCACCGAGTTTTCAATGCCAAACGCCGAGCCTGGCACGATCGCGCAGCCGAATTCCGAGAGGAGGTACGAGCAAAAGACCTCGCTGTCGCTGATCGTCGCGCCGTTCGTGCCGACGTGGTTGGTGCCAATGTAGGTGGGGAGCGTCGATAAAGACGTAGAACGCGCCGGTCGGATACGCGTACTGGATG